CATATACAGTGTATATTGACAAAATAAAAATTTAACAAAAAATAAATAAATAAATAAAAATGATCCACACAGATAAATGTTAGTTTGACACATTAGGGAAAAGGAATGTGTTTCTATGAAATTCTGTTTATAATTTAATCCTGTCATAGGTTTTGGATTAAAAATTTGTTCATCATACTCAGAGAAATTTTTAGGCTCAAACAGATTAAATTCAGTAGATTTATGTAGCTATTCCCTGGCCTGGATGGAGCATTGGTACAGTTTTTACTTCCATAAGGAATTTATTGGGAGCACCAAATACAAGTATAAGGATAATTGTTTTACTTTTATTAGTTTTATTTTCTTCTTCCTTTTTTTCTAGGATTATGACAGTTTTTTCGAATCAAAGGAAAGCAACACAGTCTTTTCATTCTTAGGCCTGAAACCACGGTTGTCATCAAAAGTAGGTAAATCTTATTTTTGTTTTAGAACTCATCTATCTTGAATTGTTCTTTGAGGTTGAAGGTGTTAGAACAACACATATATAGTCTCCTTGATTTTTAGTGTTTGCTTTCTCCAGTGCATAATTAGAGACTGCCCAGTTTTAAAACACACAAAGAAGCCTAGTTTCTTTCTTTCCAATTTTTAATTGTTGCTACAAATGAGAATATTAATATATTTATAATTTATACCCCATTCCTCCAAGAAGAATTTAAAGTAGCAAAAAGTAGGAGGTGCTTTCTATTTTAAACTGCAAATTTACATTACTTTACATTTTTTGAAATAGCAGACATAAAGCCATATTTTAAAGTTTTTTTTATACATTTAACTTATTTTTGTTGGAGAGGAGATGATCTACAATAACAGTTGATCAACTGTGAAAAAATGCTGCAATTCCTAATATAATCAAAATATTTTTGAAGCCACTTTCTTAAGTCATATGTCTTTGAGGTAATATAACAGACCCAAGATTTTCTCTTGTTTAGGCTTAGAAATGATGTATGTTATCCCAACTTTATTAGGCACATGGATTCACTTTCAAAATAAGAAAAAGAAGTTCTTTATTAAGTAAGGCAATATTGATTGTTATTTCTTTCTCTAAAAAATATTTTGTTTTTGCTGATTATGAAAGTAGCTAGGGCTCATTTACAAAAATAGGGAAAATACAAGAAAGTTTGAAGTAGAAAGTAAAAATCACTACCTAGAGCTAACTACATTGACATTTTTGTGTATTTCCTTGTAATTTTTATATACGTAGTAATTAAAGTTTTGACTATATTTCACATTGAGACTGAATTCTACAGTGTCTATTTATAATGCAATTGAAATGAGAGTACTTTACTGGGAACTTTGATGTCCATGAGTAATAGGTCTTTCGAGGCTACCCAAGATTTGTACCATCTCTGGAACACCTGTGGGAGGAAGGCAAGGACGATCAGTAATACAAATTATATACCAGCACCTGCAGTGCATAGCCAATATGAAATCTTGCTTTGTTTTTACATCAGTAAATCCACAGATGGCTGTGGGCGGTTTCCGTGCACATGTTTTAAGCAAAGGCAAAACCCACACATATAGTATTTAAATGTTCTTAAAACTATTTTTATAAAGATGGAACATTTGAATTCTTGTTAGGAAAATTAGAGTATTTTTATAACATGTTTCATCCAAAGATATTAGACAATCCAGATTTATCTTCAAAGAATGGGAAAAAACTGGGGTTGGGGTAATCTATTGGATGCATAAATCCAGTGGGCATTGTTGTTTATGCAGAAACCTTTTTAAAAATACTGTGTGCTTACCATCTTTGTTCCTATTTCCCCCAAGGATATAGATTTCTTAGAGACTCTGCAGGCTGGCTTTTTTATTCTTTTTTTTTTTTTTGTCTTTTTGTCTTTTTGTCTTTTTCCGTGTCCGGCAACGGATCGCAACCCTCAGTGTTGCCCCGTACCGGACTGGGGACCGGCAACGGGATCGCAACCCTCGGTGCTGCCCCCGCACCTTGCTCAGCCAGTGAGCGGGAACCGGTCTGTATGTGGGATCCAAACCCTCGGGCGGGAGCGCCGCCGCGCTTCCCAAGCGGCGCACCATCCAGTGCGCCACCGGGCCGGCCCATGGCTTTTTTATTCTTTTTAAAAAAATTATTCTCTCAAAAATTTCTCAGGAAATCTATGATCTGTAAAATATACATTCTCAGATGTCTCGTCATAGTATTAAATTTGGTCTTGGTGCCACTGAAGTTGACTTGATGTCAGTAGACAATTCCAAAGGCAGTCAGGGCCTTGAGGATCCCCACCTATGTAGCCTATCATTTTAAGGTGCCTGAATCAGTGATACCTAGGCAGGAGCTCATGGGACCAAAATGGATGTCCATGGAACAGTGTCTCTGCTGCTCTCTCTTGGGAACCAGCAGGGACGTAAAGGTTAATAGCAACTCATACTTCATCTTTATATGAAAGAAGTGAAAATATCTTTAAAAACAATTCAGCATTTCCCCCCTTTCTACTTATTTTTCACCTTTGTAGTAATTCATCACAGTCTACGGTCTCTAAGAGAGACAGAGTGTTCACATTTAATGTACTAAAAGACCCTTTTTCTTGTCTCCTTTTCTGCATAAAAGACAGGGCTAGAAAGCCTACCAGAAAACACATAAAGACACAATTAGCATCTGTAACTGTTCTTAACCAGTAGGAAAAGAACATTCACAGGCCCAACAGAGAAGGTGCAGACTCTGACTGGGCTGCTCTCAACAGCGGACAGGGCAGAGGAAGGTCAGAAGTCACCAAATGGTGGACTCCAGTCATATTGGCTCTGGATATGTTGCTTTTGCTGCACAGAATTTTTAAAAGAATGCAAATTGATTGCTAATACCTAAAAATACAGATTTCCCACTTTTCTCGAGAAGGTGGAAGGTGTGAAAACCCTGGGGGCCCACTCTCTGCTATGGCTGGCTGGAGCCAGTAGTGGCTGGCTCACTATGGTACATGCCTAACATGCTGAGAAAAAGAGGCCTTTTCACAACTAATTTTCAGGTAGAAAACCATCGGGTTTATTATTTTTATATACTCTAAGCAGGGCCTGAAGTAAAATTTTCTGCATTCAGATCCCTGCCATTTAGGAGTGATATTCAAAATATGTAACAATTGGTAAACATGGGGCACTGACTAGCCAGTGCTGGTCGGGTGTCAGCTGTTTAATGGTTGGATCATAGGGGAGGGGCAGGGATGGCACTTGGGGGATTGGGAAAGCAACTGTTTACTAGTAGGTATGTCCATACCAGTGCTGTCCTTCACCTTGGGTCACCATTAACCAGATGGTAACCCCATCCCCCACCTCTCCACTCACTAGTGGAGCAGTACCTCTAAGAGGGGTCTCAGTAGGTTGTTGCAAGCATAATGCCTTTTTTTCCACTTTAATATTCAGGTCATGTGGGTGTGATTTCCATCTGGGCTCTGATCCTGAAACCCAGGATTTGCTCTTATCAACCATGTGAAGGTGATTTATTATGATTTCCAACACCTCTATTCTTGACGTTTGAAAAACTACTGCCAAAGGTGAATTTTCTTGTCAATGCAATGCAATAACTGGCACTTTTTTTTTTTTTTAAATAGGCAGAACCCTAAAGAGGAAAAGTGGAAGATGACGGAGATGCATTGTGGAGCACCCCCAGTACTCAGTACACCCCTCCTTACCTAATGCATCACTGTGACAAAAGCCACGTGCATCACCAGTAACTTTGCTTGCCACGGAAAAGGTGTTTTTAGAAGATGTGGGTATAATGGGGATTGCATGATTGCTTTAAACCAAATCAGGACTGTGGTGGATTTTTTTCTTATTTTCAGATTTTTCTGCAGTTGCCTCACTCACATGAAAGTACAGTTACCTGTTACGGATGTGCTTCCTTTAATGACTGAAAGATAAGTGGGTGGCACCATTAGAGAGGAAATGTTGGATCTGTCCTAGGTTGTAGTAGATGCCAGTATTGCATAAACCTGCTTCTCTTTAAGCTGCCTGGATTGCATCCTTGAAATTAGTCTACAAGGCTATTAGAATGTTTGGATCAGAAAGAAGAAAAGCAATGCTGGTTGACAAAGGGTGTTGAAGATTTTTGTTGCAGAATCACAAATGTCACTGTTCCAGTGCATTGTAATAACACCTGTCAAAAAAGTTAGATGTTCTAGACTTTTTTTTGTAATGGAAACTTTTGCCCCCATAAATCCTGTGAGCTCCCTACACATGTTTCCAAAAATAACTTGCAGCATTGGGTAATTAGAACCAAGTTACAGGGATGAAAATAATTGCTATTTTGGAAAATACATGCTTCTTTGTTTCTTACAAGGGGAAAGTTTCACCCAATGCATAAGACTACTTGAAAGATATATTTTAAGAGGTGCACTAATTAGATAGTAAATTTATAGGAAAATTGTCTGAATAGTGTCTGAATAGTATCAGAAAGCATCAGCTCTAGCAATTTATTTATATGTAAGTACATATGTATTTTTAAATGCAACTCCCCTAACTAACAGCTGCTTATTCTATTTTATGAAGGGATTATATTTTTTGAGAAAGGAAGATCTCAGTTAGATATATTTTGTGAACCCTTGATGAGGCATATTAAAAGATACCAATATTGCTGTACAATTTAATTTTTTTCTTGTGTTACTTTTCATTGTTCCTCCAACTTTGCTTGCTCATATTTATGGCCAATGCACAGGCTCATGTTTTCATAGTAATACAGATACATGCTCTAATTCCATATATGAGTACAATGAGTTTTTAGAGCAACATATATAAGAAAGGAGCTGTCCAGAAAGTAACTTTGGATTGTACTTGGCAAGCAAAATCTCTACTCCCATTGGAGTGGATGCCAATAAACTTTGAACATGATTACTTCATTAGGGCAGAGGCCAACTTTTCTGCATCCTTGTCCCTATAATAGGGACACTCACATTTATTAGTTTGTAATTGCCAAATATAGGAACAGCCTTGAATAGGATAAACTCTCAGAGGGCTGCCTAAAATACTCTACTATTCCCAACATTCTCATGCTGGACCCATCATTATGATTCTGAGCAGGACATTTATAAGAAATTGAAAGAACAAAATATTAAAGCTCTGTCCCATATGCCTCCCACCCTGCCCATGCCTTGCTAAATGTGGACTATTCTAAAGGACTTGTTTAGTGCTAAAGCTGAAATCCCAGCCTAAGATTTGCAGTCAGGGCTTATAACCAGAAGGAAAGCATGACAGATTTCTACTTGACTGGAACAGACACATGATCCACAATTTTCTCTCCAAGGAAAGCTGTTATCAAGTCATAGGTGTTACTGGTTAGTTGGCATTAAATAAGAGATCAAAGTCAAATTCCTTTTGATAAATCCCAGGGACTATTCAGGAATTTCTTTTTAACTGGATATTGTGTTTGAGTATGTAAGTCTTCTAGGATTTCTTTCTAAGATACAGCAATTTTAAAAATTGTCATGTTGTAGTTACCAAATTTACATTTAGTCCACCCTTGCCAGTGAGCACCAAGAACCAACTTGGTAAGGTAGAGGCTTTGCACGTGAAATTCTGGGGCTATAGGATTTGCTAGATAAACTTGTTAGACAAAGAAAGCTATTCAGATTTGTATGTCATATAACTTTTGAGTTAACCATGGTGTGCCTAGTATGATTATATTCAACAGACTAGATGCAACACTTGATCTTAGCCAAAAGTCCGAGAAGCAATCAACAGACTAGATGGAGAGTAGTGCTAAATTTCTACCACATTTACAACACCATCTCCTGCCCCGATTTTTTTTTTTTTGATCAGCAAAGAAATACAAGAGACCAGCCTCAGGCAGTCCTGTACTTGCTATGAGTGAGCTAGAAGCATAGTGTGTGGCATTTACCACAGTACCCAGGCTCCACGGAGTACCAGTTGTTACCCTCTGGGACCACACTGTGTTCACAGAATATTGTGTCTTTACTTGTACTCTTGTACCATCTGGATTCCAAACATGGAATAATGATTGTCGTGTTCCCTTCTTTAACTAGATGCCTTTAGATTTTGATAATCACAGTCTCAAAAACCTAAGAAAGAAGTGGCTGGGAATTGCAGGCAAAATGTAAGATCAAGGACATTTCAAGACAATTTTTATTTTTTGCAGTAGGTTTGTTGGGACAAAGGAAATGTGCTGCTAAAAATCAAATTACGCCATTTTAAAATTAGACATAATAGAGTGCCATCCTCCTAGGCGCATGCAGACTAGAAGAAAATTTAGTTGGGGACATACTTGTTTTTCCAAATTCGTATGTTTTATTAAAATCAAAGAGGGGAAGAGGAAGATTTTTTTTTCTCTCAAACTAATATATTATAAATTTGTTCCTTTTTTATAAATTTAGTTGAATACTCCACATAGATGTCCTTATATTACACATGAATTTAATAATGAGCTAAACTTATTTTTGTCTTCTGTTATTGAAAGGTACCAAAGCCTCTTTCTGTTTTGTTTTTGTTTTGTTTTGTTTGTCTCATTTTACTATGGGGTTTTACTTTTTCTAGAAATGCTTTTCATTTAACAGCTTTTCTTAAGTGTCAGGGTCCACTTTGATCTGCATAATTGTTTTTAGAGTTCGATTTATATGTGTTTGTCTCTAATTGCACTGGTGAAATCTCAGATTTTATATTAAGCATTAAAGGGGAATAAATTCCAGAAAACACGTATTCTGAACACAGAGTTTTTGTTCCCTATCATTTCTCGTACCTTTTCTGATTTTAATTCTGTTTGTCCGAATCCTTTGTCTAGTTGGGAAAATGTGTTTCTATACCCAGCCATGAATCCTGTTTATCAAAGCTGCAGATTTGGTTGTAAAAATGCAAACAGGTTGTGTGACCATTCAAGGAGCCATGCGTGTGTGGTCCTACATGAAGGTGTTGAGAGGAGACTACAAAATCATATCATCTCATACAGTGATCAGGACCGAAGACAGGGTTAAATCACTGAGCCCCAGGTTGGTTCAAATGGATGACTGTGTGGTTACCTGAGTACACTGAAGCCAGAGGCTTCTGGAAATGTTCTAATTGAGTGCAGAAAACAAGGACAGAGTGGCTGTGACCCCTATTACCAAGGGCCCCCTTTGAGGCAGCCACCTCTGAAAGCAGAAAAAAATATTTCTGAAAGCAGTGTCTGAGGTTGATCTTATCACTGAGCTGTTTCAAACCTTAAACACCAGGACAAAGGGAAGGTGTAGGAAAGGATCAAAGGGAATGGGCTGTCAGTTTGCAGAAATGTGCTAAAGCATGAAACCAGATAAGCAAGTGATCACCATCCACCTGTGCCCCAGATTTCCAAAGTTTTCCTAGTTCTTCTAGAGATGCAGGTCAGATTAGTTTGGTCATATATTTCAGCATATATTGAATGTGATGGGTACTGTCTGAGCAGGACAATAGTCTCCAGCCTCAAGGATGAGGGAAACAGAAACAAAAGCAGCAGTTACGGCCAGTGGTAAATGTTAGAGTTGAGGGACGTTCATAGCACTCTGGGCTGTGGTTCATCATCTGAAACATTACAGATGTTGTATTTCTTCGTTACAGCCATCCCAATCTTTTAAAGTGTCATACATGCGGTGGAATATATATATGCATACACATATGATAAATACACTAAAGTATAAAGAAGAATAATAAACAGCCCCTGTGTGCCTGCTGCCCACCTTATTGCCTTTCCTCTGAGGCACTGTGCACTCTTCTCTGAACTTGTCTCCCTCCCTGATAGAGGGAGCCCCTATCCTGAACTTTGTGTTGACCATAGCCTTCCTATGCTTTACCATTTTACCTCCACGTATGTATCCTTAAAAAAGAATAAATGGAATTAAACCAAATGCATTCTCTTGCTTCCTTTTTATGCTTATTGCAGAGGGAGTTATTTTTACTGCTAATGGTATTCCATTGTATGAATATATCACAGTTTTTCCCTTCTCTAGGTGCTGATTATTGAACTGTATCTTTGTTTGAAATAGAAAAAGGAAATGTTGTTGGGGTTTTTTTTTGCTATGAACATTCATTTATGTAACTACTGGTGCACATACAGGAGAGTGGATATATACCTTGGTAGAATTGCAGGGTTGTACAGTAAAAGCACATCATCACCTTTAGTAGATAAGGCCAAATTGCTTTCCAAAGTCATGGCACCAACTTATGCTCCCACCAGTATACTAGAATTTCCGGGGCTCTAGATCAGTGCCAGTGTTTCGGATTGTCTGTCAAATTTTTTGCCAAACAGTAGTGTGTAAAATGCTGTCTCACTGTGGTTTCATTTTGTAAATTTTTGGATGTTAGTAAATTGAACATATTTTATTATGGGAATTCCTATTCTTCCTGGAAATTTTTCTTTATATTTTTGCCTCTTTTCCTATTGAGCTGTGTTTTTTAAAATTATTTTTTAATTGAAACGTATTGGTTGTACATATTTATCGGGTACGGAGTTATATTTCAGTACATGTATACAGTGTGTAGTGATCAAATCAGGGTAGTTATAGCAAATTCATCACTGCAAAAATTTATCACTTCTTTGTGATGAGAAGATTTAAGCTCCTGTCTTCTAGACATTTTGAGAACATACAATAAAATATTGTCCCTTATAGATGCCTAGCACTAAGAAACTTCTTTTTCTTATCTAGCTGTAACTTTGTGTCCATTAACCATGTTTTTCATTATTAATTTTAAAAATTTCTTTATATTTTTATTGGTCAGTACTTATTTAACTATTAAAATGAAAAGAAACCAGATTTATGGTAGGAAAATCTTCTGATGCTATTTCCAGAAGTATGAAAAGCATGTGAATCTTTATTCTATTTGGGGAAAATAAAGTTAAATGCATATATTATACATTTTTCTTGTGTACTGAAAAGTTTGTCAGTATCAGCAAAAAGATGTACTTTGGAACTTCTCTGTGCTCTAGAATGGTTCCTTCTTTGGAGTTATTTTAAGGCTCATCAATTCCAGTTATTTGGTAGGAAATTGTCATTAATGTTATGATTTGGTTTTCTGCTACAGAATTTTACCAAAAGGAAATCTTTATGTAGACTGTGTGTTTATATGTGCATATATCCTTAGCATGTCATCATGTAATGGGCTTATAGCAATAGGCCAAAATCATGTTATACTTAAGAGAACTTAAAAATTATTTCTTTAAGGCATTGTATTGAACTGTACTCATAACTAATCCTTAAGCTGAGTGAGGTAGATCAGCATCGTGCTGAATATAATCCAGTGTGTTGTGGTGGCAGCATATTCACATGTGTGTCAACCAATTGCAAGATCGAAGAACAGAAAAATTAGAATGCAGTCTTATCTTTCTAGGCTCCTGCTAACTCAGGGGACAACATTTTTAATAGACAGAAGTCCCTGGTATTTGAAAGTATATTCACTGAAAACTTGTTATTGCTTATAATTAATAGAATAAAGATTTAGATCTTTTTATAAAATAGCACTCCACACTGTTGTAATGTTCGTCATTTTGGGCCCTATAATAAAATTCACTATAACCAAACTTTTCACTGTAAAAGCTCTATTGTAATTATCTATCATCACTAATGTTACAGGAACAAAAGCTCTGTAGTATAGAACAGTGCTGTCCAGTATGGTGCCAACAAACCACATATAGCTATCGAGTAATTGAAAGGTGCCTAGTTGAATATGTGATGTGAGCATAAATATGTTCCAGATTTTGAAGACTTGGTGTGAAAAAAAAGTAAAATATCTCAATAATTTTTATGTTGATTACTATACTGAAATTGATAATATTTTAGATATATTGGGTCAAATTAAATACTAAAATTAATTTCAGCCTTTCTTTTTCCTTTTTCTCAATGTGGCCACCAGAAAATTTTAAATTATTTAAAATTTAAAATTATGGCTTGCATTATATTTCTATCGGACAGAACTGTTCTTGTCCATCCTCTTTACTTGAATTTACAATAGAGAAATAAATATCTTTAAAAGGATTTTTGGTTTTGGCAGAGAATCTCCTTCCTACATTTGTAATAATGAAAGGAAATGTGAACATCTTTGAGAACGCAATTTTCTAATACTGCTGCCAAGATACTTGATTTTCTCATTTTGCTTTTTCGTCCTTCTAGCTTGAAGTATTTTGTAGTGAAAAAGGAGGTTCTTTTTTTCCCCCCTTGAATAGCAGAGCGATGTTTGTGTGTTGTCATAATGTGACATCTTTCTGTGTGTCCAGTCTCATTACTATATGATCTTATAAAGTTGATGTCTCCTGTTGAATTGGTCTGTATCTGTGAACTAAGTCATGGTGTAATTTTTGTATTTTTTCCTTTTTAAAATAAGAGAATTTAAAAAGAAAAAAGAAAAAGGGAATTTAATGAACCACACAGATACCATCTCTAATCTGCAGAACAGTGATGAATAATTAATGGGATTTAGTCCTAAATTTCCTAAAATGTTAATACTCTGGAAAACTCATTTGAGTTCATAAGACTGTATGGATAATCTGCTTTTAAAAAGTTTTTTTCTGGTTTCATTGCCAAAGATTAAAACAGAATTTGTGAGTATTAGGGGAAAATTCTCTGTTGAGGGTTTTTAAACCATTTTCTTTTTTACTATTCTCTTAGCAAAATAACTTTGGGGAAAAACCTGTATTATTTTTGTCATTAAAATAATTGAGGGTATTAGTATTCTTTAGGTGGAGGATTTTGTTGTTGGGTTTTTTTGTTTTGTTTTGTTTTTTGTTTTTGGTATTTTGTTTGGGATCCTTCTCTGAAATAAAGCAATTGTATTATAGACTTTGCAAGTCCAAGAAATGTCAACCATCTCTGTTTCATGTAGCTACTTGTGTGTTGCTTTGGGTCTCATTATTTGTCATTCTAATAAATTACTTATGTGGGATTTAGCTTTTGGGGGATAGGTGGAAAAACTTGTCCGAGATAAATGTAGACAAACACTTTTCATGCTATTTTGATTTCGTTTATTGATATTATCCCGTTTGTGTGAGTTCTCTCTTATTTTTCTCCCTGGCAATCTATTTTATGTCATGTACCAATAACATCACTAGGTTGAAACAGATTCTGGGCTCTGAGACAACCTATAACTTGGCTCCAAAACTGACTCGGAGATCAGTTGCTAGGGCTACGAGACCAGCAGTTTGACATTGACTCCGTTACCTTAGCCCAGACTTACCCTTTCTCTCTCTCTTCCTGTCTTTAGTGGTAAACCACTCTTAAACAATCTGCTCCTAGCCATGTCCTAGCCAACTAGTACGGGTAACATAAGTGATGACAACAGCAATATTTTCACTCCCTAGCCCAGGAACCAGAAGGAATGACTCCAGCAGCAGCTTCCCTTACTCTTCTGTTTTACATGCCTAATAAATATTTATGGCTGTATCCTAATCATGCATGAGGAACCGAATACTGACAGGTTTTTCATCCTAGTTATAAGGTGGCTGTACAGACAGAATTTTAGCAGTTACATATTTAGCAGGTAAAATGACTACAGCATTCAGACTTGTGGATGTCTTCTGCACAACAATGCAGGAAACCCCTTCCCCATCCTTGACTCACTGAGGGCACCAGGCTGCCTCCAAGTGAAACCAATCCAGAGTAACCCTGCTGTCTAGGGGCAGCTTTACCAGAATTTCAAAACACGTGAACAGTTACATCTGCAGTGAGGATGAACAAAGGTATTGTGGAATCAGATGCAGGTAAAACGACAAATCTCTGATAAAGGAATTGGGGTGGTGGTGCTGTGTCCCTGCAGTGTGTCATTTTAGTAGAGCGTGGAGTTTAGATGTTGGTGAAGATCTGTCTTCAGTGTTCTCACCATCACTGAAAGCTGATTATTAGTCACCTTTGTACAAATGGCCCTTTATTGTGTAATATTTTCAATATGTTGCTATAATTTGCACTCTAATTTTTGCTGATTGAAACAGCATCCTTTGCATAACTAATGGTAGAGAAATGAGTCATCACAAATCTGTCCATCCAAAGCCTGTGAGCTCTGTGCTGTCATTTTTTTCCTCTATCATGGTTTTTGGCTTTTACCTGGTAAACATTTAAGATAGGAGAGAGGAAGCCTTTTGCTCTTCAATAAGGGCATAATCACCAATCGTCAGTTTAAGCCCAAATATGTTGTTATAAAAAAAAATCTGTTATCTCTTAGCTTACAGTAAGATCATTTTATATGGTTTGTTGGTCTTATTTTGCATATTTTTGAAGACAGTTTTGAAGACAAATTTACTCTTTGTAGCTTGCCTGTAAGAATAAAATGTTAACTGTTTAGTATCTCAGAAGTTGGGTTTTTTTTAAAATTTTTTTTGTGGTGTTTGTATTTTACACTGTTTGGTTTGGGTCAGCTTTGTGCTAAGAGCTTCCCCTGATAGGCCCCAAGGCACTGGTGGTGTGCCTGGGCCAGAACTAACTTTTTGTCCTTTGCTTACTTCTAACACAGGGGAACTTCCTGTGGGAACCAGTACTTGAGCTGTGTGGTTGAGCTAAATTGCTGCTTTGCTGCTGTTTCCCTAGGGAAGGCTTTTTGTGCAGCCTTAATAGTTGACCTTATAGGTACTTCTGGCTCTTCAGAGACCTGGTGCACCTGGGTTGTGTAGAAACTCCGATCTGGGCCTGAGTTTTTTCATCAAACTGCACCCCATGCAATTCTGCATTCCAGACCAGTCTCCTCTGAGTGGTCTTGTGCTGATTGGGGGGCGGATCAGCTGTCCTTGCTGTGTCCCAGTGTTCTCCCAGTGGGCCCATCTCTCCCACCAGCTGTGCTCCAAACACTTCCCATGGGATGGGCCCTGTGCTGGGCCCTTGTGATGACTCGCCGGCCTCTGAATGGCTCACTTTTTCAGCTGTTCTGG